ATTTCACACTGGTGCAGTATTGCATTTCTCTGGCTTTTCAATGTACAGTGGGAACTTTTATCTGCAACTTGATTTCCAGTTAAACATCCACTCTACGTGTATAGTTGGCTTTTATTGTGGAGGCGATCGTCTGTGTTTACTGCCAATCATGTCCTGAGTGGTCGTATTTTTAGGCTTTTTGTGTAACTTTTTTTTCTTTTCCTTTTCTTCACCTCGACCAAAGTCTCCTGGAAAGTAACTGTGCATGTACGTGCATCACCGCTGGACACTCGAGTGACATTGAGAGCGATAATGCTTGTTGTAATCTATATAGCACACTTTGCTGGTGAAAGCTGATGGTGTAATACAATACAACTTAAATTAAATGCTATTTGACTGATGAATACATTTAGTAATATCAGCACATATCTGCGATAAAATTAGCCGATATCTGCATAGGCTTATAATCGGTTGGCTCTTATTTTCATTGCAGTGCAAAACTGGAAAAAAAAAGGTATTTCTGTGTTACTACTTTAATGCTGCTGAAGGAAAAAAAACAGAGTAAGCTACTTTTTCCACTGTCCTATTTTATTTAAAAACTTGTAGTAGTCTAATGGTTCCTCTGGAGGAGAATTAGCCCCCCGCCTTTTCTTTTGTAACTTGTCATATTTTCCCCTTCTCTAGGGTTTTCTAAACACACTAGGCTCTTAAAGAAGCCCCAAGTAAGATCATTTCTGTTGCATTAAATGTCGAAATTTCCACAAAAAATAATTAAATGTTTTATTTCTTACATGTAAAAACCATTTAAAATGACTACGTAGTGAGCCCCCCCCCTGTAACCTGTTTCGTATGGCGAGGGTTATCAGTCAAAAGATAGTTTTTTCGTTACCTGTATCCCTGTTTATACAGTGGGTACAGAAAGTATTCAGACCCCTTTACATTTTTCACTCTTTGTTTCATTGCAGCCATTTGCTAAAATCAAAAAAGTTCATTTTATTTCTCATTAATACTTATGACCATGTGATATTTCAGTTTTTCTTTTTTAATAAATTACCAAACATTTCTACATTTCTGTTTTTTTCTGTCAAGATGGGGTGCTGAGTGTACATTAATGAGAAATAAAATGAACTTTTTTGATTTTAGCAAATGGCTGCAATGAAACAAAGAGTGAAAAATGTAAAGGGGTCTGAATACTTTCCGTACCCACTGTATGTGCTTAAAATTCAATGATATTCATAACAGTTCCTCATTTACTGTTAGCAAATACATTTAATGAAATACAGATTAGGAGATGAAGTTGGAAAACTGGGCTAGTGGCCAGAATTTGTGATACTAATGAGAAAAGCACTCCCTTTTTGCAGTCACTCCAGAGGTCTGAATGAATAATGAATTATGAATGTAGAGCAGGTTGTTGGCCAAAAGGTGCATCATGTCTTCCCTTGATAAATAAAGGTTACTGTCATTTGTGCAGCTGCTTTTCTAATGAAATGTCAAATTAAAAGCTGTGATACACAAAACACCATGTCAGCTAAGTCTGATGAGCAAAACGTTGTTTTTTCCACGCCTGCTGCTGAGAAACAAGTCAATCGATTTTTGACCCTTAGTCTCAGCCTGCTGCCTTTAAGCATGCAGTTTTTCCCATATGCATTTTGCTCAAACCATGTCCGGCTGGATTACAACCCGGCCTGTGTACAGGTAATCAATACTGTAGGCTCAATAAAACCAGCTGTATATAGAAGCTACAAAAAGTAACATCCAACAGCAAAATGAAAATCTGAATGTGAGGTCCAGCTGGGAAGAGTTGAACTTGGCTCAGAGGAATGCGGTTGCACTGGGCAGAAGTCTCAGAGAGAGTGAGAAAATAGGATTGAAAAAAAAAAAACAGACTTCTGCAGGAGAGTAAGTGCTGGATAAACCTTCTGCAGCACGATAAAACACAGAGACAGAGAAAAAGAAGAGATCCTAGAATACATGACTTTCTCTTCAGTAGGGTTGGGAATCCCAGGCTAATTCATGATACGATGCAATATTCTAAACAATAGGTTGTCCATGATAACAGTAATATCACAATACAGAGATTAAAGGATAACTGACATGTGGCACGGCAGTCAAATAATGATACAACACTATATCTGATCCTCTAGAATAAACAATTCCCCTTAAAAGGTAAAGTGTGGAATTCATGTATTTATTGACTGCAATTTTGTGTCAGTTTCTGCTCTTATAACTGACTTATAACCACTGTCCTCTTCTTCTATTTCTTTTTCTCTCTGTTATCTATCTCTTCTCTGGCCAATTCACTTTCATTCATGTGTCATACGTGCTACTGTTTTTAGTCATGAAGTAGTGAAGCGATAAGTCAAAATATATCGATATAATAATAATTTATACTTTTATTAATCCCGCTGTGATGCCATGCGATGTGATGCACTTTATTGTCCCCTTAGGGAATTGTCTTTTGTACTCCAAGTGCAGCATACATTTAGCTGCCCACACAGTAGCATTGATAAATTACAAGTTCCAATGAAAAACTCAAACAATATAGCATATTGAACATAACTAAGGATGTTCAAGATCTGCATAAAGCGCAACATAATCAGTGAAAGGTTGGCACCAAGGAGTTTTTAAATCACTTGAATTTGCATTGGAGGACTCTGTATCACATGAGTCACCAGAGCAATATGTTGCCTTATGCATATTTTGTCCCACTCCCACTTGCTAGTATGCAATATCCTGTGAGTGTTCATGGAAGAGAGTTGTTGTTTTATCTGCAAGCTCTTTGGTTAATTCTCCATTCCTCTGTCCTCTGTCCTCTGTCTTTTGTCCTCTGTCCTCTGTCCTCGTCCCTTAGAGGAAATGAAGTCCACTTTTAGTCCAGCGCAGTGATCAGCTGCTTGAACAGACCACGTGACAGACAGACAAAGGAAAATATCTTACTCCTTCCTCCTGCCATCCATCCCCATCAACAAGAAACACACATTCAAAAACACCCGACAGCCTTCTTTAACTGTGGATTGGATTTCATTCTCAGGACCCCATTAATTCCTTATGGATTCTCATATTGATTGAGGGGCCTCTGGTCTTGTTAATTCACAAAATCCCAGACGGGGGTTTGATTCAGTTTGCATTGCCTGAAGGTGAATGCAACTCGTACGAAATGTGTGAATAAAATCGAGAATAAGGCAGGGTGTAGAGAAAAAGAAGAGAAGGAAAGAATGAAGAAGTTGAGAAGAAGTAACGAATGAATTAGGCAATGAATGACCTATTGAAAGAAATGTAAGCAGAGAAAAAGAAAGCATTGTTCCAATCATTAACCTTTTTTATGTAGAATAAAAAGAATGCCATGATCAATTAGTGATTACCGTCTAAATGCGTCAATGAGGTTCAGTGTTTCACCCTGTCCTTTATGTCATTAGCTCATTCTAATGGATCATTACATAAAACCCTCGCAATGGATCACAACTGGAAGGCTGTTTGCTTGTCGGTGTGTATTTGTACTGTAGCTGCACACAAGCATGAAGGCCAAATGCAATTGATTCCTTTGCTGATTGATGAACCTAAACATCACTCTGCAGTAATTAATTAAGCAGCAGTAATAAGATAAGCCTCATTGCTATAGCAAAAGGACAAAAGCATATGAGACACGCTTGGGGTGCAGCTAAATATTACAAGCAAGAAATACAATGTTTATTCTAAACATTCAAATGTAGAGAATATAACCATCCTATATAAAAAGTCCCTCACACACAGTCATGTGACAGAGGTCATAAAGAGTATCAAGTATATTTTGCCTCATCCAAAAAATGTCATACCTTTTTCTCATACAGGGAAAGGCCATTATCAGTGGTTCAGACGACGTTGGGAAAAAAAAATAAAAAAATGCATGTTGTTCTTTCTGCTGTAACTCTCTAACCGAGGTGAGAATGGATTGAGAGGAGGTATTTGTCATTGTCAGGCTGAGTGCCCTGCTACCTGTCTGATGCTGAACCTGTCTCACTCAGGTTCCCTTTTATGTGTTTTCATCTCCCTCTTTAAAGTTTTACTCGCTAAAGTTTTATTTGAAAGACTTAAAAAACAAACAAAAAAAAAACCTGTTGGCTCCCTTTTATATATTTGTTCACTTGTCCCTCAGCCCACCTCTACCTACTTTATTCTACTTTGGTCTCTGTTAGTATATAGCTTCTCTCCTGTTGTATATGCTTTTGCTCTTTTTCTTTTATCCCTTGATTGATTTTTTTTATTCTAGACATCATCACCTTGGCTTGATTTCCTCACCCAGATTGTGACTTAACATGGGTTTACAGTAGCATGCTTACCATATAAGAATAAAACCTAATATCTAGTAGTCTCATTGTATAAGGATGAAGTAATACTAAATATATATCACAATACATTCTCGTAAAATTAGACTTTTTGTGGGTATTCAACATGAATTGACACATTTGTTTTATGAGTTCACATCCATGTTACCTCTCAGTCATTGGGCCAAACAGAGAGAACATCCAATGGTCTTTGGAGGGGCAGACTGAGACTGTACCATGATTAGTAGAGTACTTGTATTGTTTTTTTGTTTTTTTTTACATTTGATTTGAATTTCATAAGTGAATACGGTATGCTCCGACTTTGGTTTTGTCTCTAGCTTCCTGTTTAAAACCAAGGTACAGAAGCTCCTCAAAGAAGTTTATAAATGAAGATGGAAGTCAGTTTAAAGTCTGCTGAGGAAAGCATATTAGTTTAGCTAAATGCATCCTTATTAGATTGAGAGGTTACCTAATGTTATTTTTTGGGGCATTTTCTAATTGTATCTTCCAGACGATATGCTCCTGTGATCAATAAAAGATGATCTAATCTAATTTGATTGTCAGTCTGACAGAATCCATCCCCTTGTTTCTTGCATTGTAACCATAAATAAACTCAGAGCGGATGAAGATTACTCCTGCATCCTGAGTTTCTTCTCACTGCAATCTTTAACAAAATTTTCTTCCTTTGGTCTAACCTCTCTCACTTCTTCTTGCCGGCAGGTTTGGAAAAAGTTGGCCGGGACTCCAGCTACGAGCAAGAGGGGAAGGTTCAGTTTGTGATGGACGCAGTGTACGCCATGGCCCACGCCCTGCACCGCATGCACCGCGAGCTCTGCTACGGATACCCAGGCCTCTGCCCGCGCATGGCCAGCAACATTGACGGGAAAGAGCTGCTCAGCCACATTCGTGCTGTGAGCTTCAATGGTGAGTAAAGTTGTTGATTTTTACCCAATGGATTGTTAAGTGAAGTTTGAAATCCTCTACCAAAGACAATGAAGTGCTGTTTTTAAACTAAAAATGGAGAATAATTCAGTTAACAATGAGCCCTTGGTATTTAAGTGTTGCTTTATTTATTTGAATGAGTATGAAGAGGAGATCCTTCAAGACTTATGGGAAAACATGATTTAAAAGTGAACAATTAGTCTGCAAATTGCTCCGTTATTCCTCGAGAACAACCACCTTCTAGTCTTCAAATGATTGGATGCTGTGCAGTGATCCTCCCTGACTTCTTTTCTACTTTAAAGACACAAAGACCCGGCTCCTCATCTCATTTGTCTCATCCTCATGAAAAACAGTCATGCTGCGTTTCACTTGCATAATTAAGTCAAGCTTGCAGCCTCTCCTGAACATATCATCTGGGTTTATTTGCTTATTGCAGATCATGATTTGGTGTTGTTTCACTGAAGCCTTGGTGCTTAAACTTTTATTTTCCCTATCTCTCTCTCTCTCTCTCTCTCTCTGATTGACACATTCTTGTAGGTGAAAATATTCACTCATTTCATTTTAGAATATTGTCTCTAAATATTGTCGACACACTTGTTACGGGTACACACTACAAGAATATCAGGCCGATTCTCTCCGTCAGACAATCAACAAGTCTGATTTTGTTTATGGTTCTATGAAATTTTCCTGTGGAGTGAGGTGTGTTAAGAGTGATCCAATCGTAAATATTAAACATCAGCAGTATTTACAATCCAATATCCAGTTGTGTTGGGGGAACCCCAAAGAACAGCTGAGCATGTGGATTGTCACAAGACATGATAGCCAGTTGGGAAGTGACCAGCCCATATTTACGTCAACAACTTAATTCATCATTTAACTTTTTTTCAGGGTTTTAACTTAAAGGTTGTCCATAAACCATCGCCAACATTTCCTGCCCATCGTCCACCATGTTTGTTTACTCTAAAGTCACATTTAAGTCACAGTTTGTTATTGGAGTCAGGCTTCTTGTTGTTTGCGAATGAAATCGGTGTGTGTGTCTTTCTGTTGTAGTCATATCCTTGCTCTCCAAACGCTATAGGAACAAAACTGTTAAACATGTCATTATTTTCCATCATATCTGTGGTCTCTCACATTTTCAACATCTGTTAAGATCGTAAGAATCCTTTATTGTTGGCTAGGCTTGAGTTGATTTCTTCCTGTATCTGCTATTCTTTCTGCATAACCTGTTGTCATCCGTCAAGATTTAAAAGAATACCGAATGAAAACAAGAGATGGAGTTGTCTGATTCAGTTTCAGAGGAAGCAGAAATGTGTTTTCACATGAATGTGTGCAACAAAAGTGTGTCAGTGGTTGTTTTTTTCCCCCCTTCCCTTCGCTATCTCTGTCTGTCATCGCTGCAAGTGTCAGAAACCAATTCACAGGCAGCCACTGATTGCTCTTTCATACTGCAGCAGCAGGTTTGTTCTCAGCCGTGTTTCTCTGTTATTGTCCGCCTGGAGGGGAGAGAAATCACCCCTTAACCACAAGGTCACAAACTTTATACCCCAATGAATCACTGAACACTTCTCACATACTGGAAGTTGCTCTGCTACACCTGTCCCCGGCAATACTTTGATGGAACATGAAATTAGATAGAGCTAAAAGGATTTGGGAATAAGCGGTGTGCCCTGAATTTATCAAGCAGGCTCCCGCCATGCATACGTTTAATTTACCCCACAATGCCTTCAAATGCCTCCACAGACATTCCAGATAAAAGCATCACCCACAGAAAAGACACGCTTCATTTTGCAACGAATAAGAAACGGCTTTTCCTTTTTGATGTTTGTCTGCATCACATGTCCATGAATTTCAGATCCCAAAAGGTGTTAAATATGATGATCAAAGGCATCAAAGTCTTAAGATAAACAAGCTATACATAATTAATATCACACCTTAAATGACTCCCTGCTACTCTCTCCTCAGAGTTGAGCAAGAATGGGGGAGAAAGGATGTATCTTTTTTTTTTTTAACAGGTGAATCAACTGCCTCAAAAAAAATTGGGTATTGCAGATAAAGTAGTCAGATGATTCCTTTAGCTTATGCAATCCTGGAAAATGATTCATTTCTGAGTCATTTATACCAGTCAAATATCAGTTAGTGTATATCTGGAAAAGAATCAAACTACAGATCTACCTTTTGCTATAGTGTGTCCCTCCTGGGTGGTTTTCCACAGACGTCTTCATTTTGCTCGCCTTTGATTTGTGGCATTGACTTTTTCTTCTTGTACACACGTTGGTTGCCTGCCTTGAATTATTGTTCCCTTCAACTCGCAAAACTTTTTTTTTTTTTTTTTTTTTTTTTTTTTAAATGTAGTCAGTTAGATTGTTTGTAAAGTGATAAAACACAGGGATGAAATAAATGGATAAAATCCCCAAAGAGCAGATTTTGCGGCAGAGGGTTCAATATATTCATCATTTCTGCTATAAATTTCTGCTGGGATTTTTATAATAAATTGCACAAAGATGAAACTTTTAAGGTGTTCTTGGATACTTTTTCACCGTTTCTTTGTCCTTAAATGTTTAAAAAGGCCTCTAAGGGGGCAGAAGAAGAATGATGGTGTTTTTTGGAGGGCTTTTTGTCGCCGTTACTCTTATCTGGTTTGTTTACATCGATAGAAGCCTGCAAGATTTAAAGCTTTTCAACCAGCTGCTTTATGTGTGTGTAGGTTTAAATGCCGGGGTTTATTTGTGTCGTCCAATAAAAAACTGTTTGGTCATTGATCTGTTTAGGGTTGACATGACATTGGAATGCTAAAGAAGAAAAAGGGGCAAAGCTTTAATTCTTTTCCTGTTTGTGGCGCATAGAGAAAGAGAGCGAGAGAGAGAATGAGACACTGATTTTTCAACATGGATTCTCCTTTTCTATGCTTTACTGGATCCATACTAATTTACCTTTCAGCAGCTGCATGAACGAACAGGAAAAGAGAGGAGGGAGGGCTAAGTGTTTGAATGATGACATTTCTTCATTTAGATTTTTACAATGACAAGTAAACGTACAGAGTTGATGGTGAGAGTGACAGAAAAGGAGAAGATGAGGAGAGGACACCAGCAAGACTTTCTCTTCTTCACAAACCGGGGTCGAGTCAGTGATGTACTTCATTGTCTAAGGACACAAAAGGGTTTAAACCTTTTTTTTTATTGGTGAAAATGGGATCCTTTTATTGACTGTTTAAAAGAAGTGCATGTAATATGCAATAATGTAATGTAATTTGAAGTGATAGAAGAAATAGAAGTGATCATATATGGACAATTGTTATGTCCTTATCCTGGGTAAGCTGGTTTGGTTGCCGTGATTGTTCATAATTAAGCACACTACACACAATTAATGTAGCCACACCATATTGCCATACCAATAATCATTGTAAATGTTTGACTAAATGTGAGCATAAATTAGAAAATGACCATTATGTTATATTGGAGGAGACTGAAGTAACAGTTGAAACAATGAACACTTCAGGACAATGTTCAGTGAGGTAACCATTTAACTAAGAAGGAGCAATATTTCCCCTTCAGATTTCATAAAATCAGACTTTTTTTAATCCAGTGCAGTGACCCCTACTGGATTTTTGAGTTGCAAAAGCTTCACTTTGGACAAAGGCCATGTCAATCTCCTATAGATATGTAAACTATGGATTCTTCAGTATAAGTTTGTATGCTGTTAAGAAAGGTTAAATCCAACATGGCATCAAGAACATTTCAATAATCAGTCTGATTCCTATTGTTAGAAATATTTAGATTATACATGTCTTTCTACATAGATCATTTTCGAGTGGAGTATCTTCAATGCGCTTACTTAAATAAGCCCTGACACATATCGACACTCAAACAGACAGAGGCTGGTGCATTGCGGAGCAAGTAAACTACAACACAAGCTGAGCTGTAATGACATAGCAGCTTTTATTTGTCTGTGAGTTTATTGGCTTATCCAGTCAAAGACGCACATTCACAAACATAAAAAGAATGTGGAAACCAACGCTCACACCGAGGCCATTATGACTAATGGAATTGAATCCTTATTTCTGAGTCAATGTGAGAAACTGAACCATCTTCATCCATCACAGATTGTCACTAAAAGAGAGACAGTGAGCTTTAGTCAACAGACTCTAACGTCATGCTGCAGTGGGCAGAGCAATCAGCAATCAAAGTACACAAAAATGTGATTCCATCTCTTGAATCAGAGATGTCTGCATGATTAACACCCACCTTCAAACAAGTCCTGCAGCAACCCTGACCAGCAGTTCTCGATGCTCAGTCCATTTTATAGCACTCCGCTAGTACTACTCCGATTCAGTCAACGCAAATACCAAATGAAAAAATAACACACGAAAGATAAAACCTCAGTTTGCATCTCCATTTTTTTTTTCTTGCTAGAATGCCCCGTTTCTGTTTACTCACTGCTCAGTCTGATTCATAAGCTGTTCCTGTCAAACTAAAACACACATAGCAGTCGCCCACACATATTTGTTTGGCCTATTCACACGTTCATTAGAGCCATACTGCTTCTTGCTGCGTCACTTCTTTTCTCTTTTTCACTGTACTATCCTTTTCTTTCCCTTTCTTTCCCCGTCTTGTCTCCGTCCTTCACACGTCGCCCACCCATTCTGCCTCGTTCTCTCCATTGTCTCCTCCATCCATCACCCATCTTTCTCTTGTAAGCGCTCTGAAAGACTTAGTCGGCCTTTCTCCTATACCCTTTAAAGGTATTCACTCATCAACTGAAGGCTGCAATCCACATTTTTTTCTTTCCTTTCCTTTTCCAATTTTAAATTCTGGTCAAAAATCTATTTTCTTTTTAAATTTCAGAGGAAAAAAAATGTAAAACTTAAAAACAAGTTGTTAAACTTACTCTTTCCTGGTTTTAATTTGTGGTTGGTTCAATTTTAACGTTGACTTCAAAAGTCCCCCATACAGAGAAAAGATTCAAGGTCAAGGACACTTCTTCAA